TACTTTGTGATGGCGGAAGTCGCAGGCTCGTTTCCGGTCACACAAACGTGTCTAGTTCCGGTAATTAGCGGAAATTATGTAAATTTTATGAATCCTTTTTTTAGTAAATATATGGCAATTCTGGATTAATTGGAAGAAAACTTATATCTCCCTTTATTTTCGATTGTTGCCACTGACCGCTTATCGGGGGAAAAACAAGTAGCAACAAAACGCACGTCGATCCTAACTTAAGAAAAACAAGTAGCAACAAAACGCACGTCGATCCTAACTTAAGAAAACAAGTAGCAACAAAACGTACGTCGTGGCTAAATCGTAAACAAGTAGCAGCAAAACGCAAGTTACAGGGACTGCAATGCGCTGCTTGTTTGTAACAACTACCAACAAAACGCACGTCTTTGGATCGGTAATGCGTTACTGGCTCGAAAACAACCAGCAACAATACGCAAGTCTCTGGAACTGTGATGCGTAAACATCTAGCAACAAAACGCACGTTGCAGGGACTGCAATGCGTTGCTAACATGTAAACAACTAGCAACAAAATGCACGTCGTAGGGACTGCATTGCGCGGCTAACTTGTAAACAACTAGCAACAATGCGCCTGCGTATGCAGTTAAAGGACTTCGGTAAGTTGTTGACACGGGATTATAAAAGGAAAGTAGAAAGTTGCAGGGGGGACAGTCGATTGAGAGTCACTAGGCCAACAGGAGTCTAGATAATAATTAATAAAAAAAAAAAAAAAAAAAAAAAAAAAAAAAAAAAAAAAAAAAAAAAAAAAAAAAAAAAAAAAAAAAAAAAAAAAAAAAAAAAAAAAAAAAAACACTGTAACGACTCAGATTCCTCCGTTTGCTGAGGTTAGCTCACGGTGGCCAGAGTTCGTCACAGAAATTTATTTCTGTCAGCGACGGGAGTAAGGAAAATACGACTCTTTATTAATATGGGATCACCCCGGTTTATTGTTCTTCAGTTCAATGTATTTACAACCGGGATATTACACAGAGTCCTTGGAGTGATCTCGAATATTCGTCCGGCTCCGAGATAAGAGGACTCCTAGCAGCTTCCCCGGTTTCTTATCCCAGTGGCTTCGGCAACTCACTGGACTTGACCCAGGTGTTCTTGAGCGGCTTTGACAACTCGCTCTTCCCTTTTCCTGGTGGCTTTAATAACTCACTCAGGTATATCTTTGTCCTGGGCTTCTTTCGCTTCGGCGGTCGCGTTTCCAAGATCTTTGGTTTCACTTTACTCACCTGAAGTTGCAAAAATAGGCTGCTTCGTTGATCTAGACTCCTGTTGGCCTAGTGACTCTCAATCGACTGTCCCCCCTGCAACTTTCTACTTTCCTTTTATAATCCCGTGTCAACAACTTACCGAAGTCCTTTAACTGCATACGCAGGCGCATTGTTGCTAGTTGTTTACAAGTTAGCCGCGCAATGCAGTCCCTACGACGTGCATTTTGTTGCTAGTTGTTTACATGTTAGCAACGCATTGCAGTCCCTGCAACGTGCGTTTTGTTGCTAGATGTTTACGCATCACAGTTCCAGAGACTTGCGTATTGTTGCTGGTTGTTTTCGAGCCAGTAACGCATTACCGATCCAAAGACGTGCGTTTTGTTGGTAGTTGTTACAAACAAGCAGCGCATTGCAGTCCCTGTAACTTGCGTTTTGTTGCTACTTGTTTACGATTTAGCCACGACGTACGTTTTGTTGCTACTTGTTTTCTTAAGTTAGGATCGACGTGCGTTTTGTTGCTACTTGTTTTTCTTAAGTTAGGATCGACGTGCGTTTTGTTGCTACTTGTTTTTCCCCCGATAAGCGGTCAGTGGCAACAATCGAAAATAAAGGGAGATATAAGTTTTCTTCCAATTAATCCAGAATTGCCATATATTTACTAAAAAAGGGATTCATAAAATTTACATAATTTCCGCTAATTACCGGAACTAGACACGTTTGTGTGACCGGAAACGAGCCTGCGACTTCCGCCATCACACTTCTCCCTCTCCTCGGGTTCATCGAAATCAACGGCTTTTGACGAAAACCTTCCCTTGTCTGTTAATCAGCAGTCTATAGGAGCGTCCACAGACTTCCACGATACGTTTGTACTGTTTACGAGGTACCCGTAACGCCATGCCCATCCGAATGTGTCTCTGCAGTCCCACCTGAACCTCACTGGAAAATTCCTCTCGGCATGAAAACCGGCACCATGAGTTTCTGCCGTCGGGAACCACTACCACGCTACGCATTCTTCTCGGGTCCCCATCGCTACTAGAACCGCTTTCTTCCGCTTCAGACTCTGTCCAATCAGCATACCTTGGTGACGTGCTAAGCTCGGCCTGGTACCCATTGTCCGTACCTTCCCTGACCACGAGGTCGGAAACTATTTCGTTTCCCTGGGAATTATCCTCTGCGGACGAAGCTTCAGATTGTGAAACGATGCTGGTCGGTATCATTTCTGGGAGGGATTCTTCCTCAAGGGTGATTATTGAAGATCCCGGGGACATTATAGGTGCTGGCAAGGATTCATGCGACGTTACACTAGACAGGGAGTCCTCGTCGAGGATGATAATCGACGATCCCGGCGACATAATCTGCGGTGGCGTAGGGGAATTTGCGGACCCATGTCTCGGCCTGGGGGGTGTGGGCTGGTCATCGGTATTTAGGGCGAATGACCCGTTGACTGGAGGCCACATAAAACCTGGGTTTGCCGCGTTCTCTTCATCCGAAATCTCGATTATATCGAGCGAGCTTGGCCGCTGCTGCACTCTAAAGGGACGAACAATAGCCACTGGTCGTGGTACGTCCCCTATGGTCGTTCTTCCCAGCCGGACTGGGTTGGGCTGCGTAACTCCTGGTACGCCCTGGCAAATACGTTTGCTGGACGTTGGTGTAACCTCATCTTCCTGGTTCTGCCACTGTTGTTTGTAATAGGCTTTGGTCTTTAGTACAGGTGATCGTTTTTCCATGTTGCCGTCGAGACTCTTTTTTACACCTGAAGAAGAAACAACAGAAAATTTATTAGTGGCCGCCTCCAATACTGGTGCGTTAACGCGTCCAGAAGAGGAAGTCTCTGCCGAAGCGAAAGGTTTCAGTTCACTTAGGTGTGCCCTGCGCACATCGTTTCGTTGTTGACCGCGAACGTTTACAATCACGGGGGAAGTGTAGCCCATCACTTCATAGGGTCCATCATATTTTGGGGCCAACTTTGCTGCAAAGCTTTCAATAGCCTTTGACAAGGGGTGTTGTCGTACCCATACCCAGTCGCCCACAGCGGGTTTCCATTGCCGCCGTCTCAGATTGTAATATCTCCTCTGCTGTTCTCCGGCTTGACCTATTCGTTGACGAACCATTTTAATAACGTCGCGGAGTTCTTCCGCTCTTTCCTCAGAGCTTTTCCCAGTTGTACCCGTCCCATTCGTTACTTCATCGTAGAGAGTGTTTGGCAACCGCGGTTCCCGACATTGTATTATATAGGCAGGACTATGCCCCGTGGTTTCGGATATACACGAATTCATGGCCAAGTTTATCTCTGGAAGAAATTCATCCCATTTATTATGCTGATTCTGACAGACCTGTGCCAGCATCGTCTTAAGAGTCCGGTTCGCCCTCTCCGTTGGGTTCTCCTGTGGACAGTAAGGTGCGGTGAACTGCTGTCGAACTCCAATTTCTCTAAGGTATCTTCCTAATTCGCGACCCGTAAATTGACTACCATTATCCGAGAGAAACACTTTGGGAGTACCGAACCTAGACAAAATCCGCTCTCTAAATGCCTTGATCACGGCACCCGTGGTGGCTTTACGCAACGCCACCAGTTCCACCCATTTTGAAAAACGATCAATAAATACGAGAAGCATCGTGTTGCCATGTTTTGTCCTGGGTAGAGGTCCGACGAAGTCTGCACAAACCATGGACCACGGTTCCTCGGGGATTGTTAGTAACATCTCTCCAGCTGGTGCCAACTGACTAGGCTTGTACTGTTGACAAGAAATGCAACTTCTCACATACCTTGCAACATCCCTCATCATTCCGGGCCAATAGTATCGCTCAGAAACTCGTCTCGCCGTCTTTCTTATCCCAAGATGGCCTGCGGCTGGCTGGTCATGGTTTTCGCTAAGTACGCGGTTCCGAAGATTGGTGGGTACACACAGCTTCCAAGTATAATTTTCTCCATCACTCGAGTGTCTTGGTATATGGCGGTAGAGCTGGTCCCCAACGACAGCATAATCGGGGAATTTCTTGGGATCCTTGTTGATCTCCTCCAGTTTTAAGCGAATCCAGGGACACACATCCCATGTTTCAGCAACCGCCCTTTGCAACGATTCTACTGGCTGCCTAGACAGAGCGTCGGCGACTACATTTAGACCTCCTTTCCTGTATCGTATAGTGTAGCGATACTGCTGGAGCTCTAGTGCCCATCTCGCCAATCGGCCGGTGGGGTTTTCGATCGAATTCAGCCACTTCAGCGCCAAGTGGTCCGTTAAAACTTGGAACTCGTATCCTTCCAAGTATGGCCGCATCTTTCTGATGCCCCACACAATTGCCAGACACTCCTTTTCAGTTGCGGAATAATTCCTCTCCGCTCCATTCAGAGATCGGCTCGCGTATGCAATGACCCGTTCACCGTCAACAAATTCTTGGGTCAGCACTGCCCCAAGACCAACATCACTGGCGTCGGTCTGCAACAGGAACGTTCGACCGAAATCTGGGCATGCCAATACTGGAGCTTGAGTCAACCTAGCTTTGAGTAGTTCGAACACAGTATGCTGTTCTTCCGTCCATCGCCAGTGTTTACCCTTTTTTAAGAGGGATGTCAATGGTTGAGTAAGTGTCGCGAACTCGGGCACAAATCGGCGGTACCAGGACGCCACGCCTATAAATCGTCTCAGCTCTTTGGGGTTCTGCGGCTGTTTCATTTCCATGATCGCGGCAACCTTGTCTGGATCAGTTCGGATGCCGTGCTCGGAGACAATGTGACCCAAGTATCTCGTCTCTTTCTGGAAAAACTGCTTCCATGCATTCCGTTCCGTATTGTACATAAAAATCCAAGTTTAAGGAAAAGCGGGACAACGAACCTATCCGGATATTGAAGAAGAAAAATAAAAAAAAGAAACGGACAACACCAACAACGAACGTTATTGTTCTTTTGGGAATTTGCAAAAACTGAATTGAAAAAACAAAAACTACAGCCATGCGTGCTGCCTTAGGTTTAAAACACGTAACCAGAGCTTCCAAAAATGTTAAACATTATTCCTCGTTGGCCGAGCCCAAGGAGCCAATACTAAAAACCTCCACCATTCCTGGACCCAAATCCTTGGAGTTGAAGAAACAATTGGGTGCCATACAACAGGCAGGCACTGTCCAACTGTTTGCCGACTATGAAAAGTCCACAGGAAACTATTTGTGTGATGTTGATGGTAATATGCTATTGGATGTCTACACACAAATCTCGTCGGTGCCATTGGGCTATAATCATCCCAGGTTGTTAAAAGTCTTCGAAAACGATAGCAACTTAAAAGCTTTAATTAATCGTCCTGCCTTGGGTGTATTCCCTGGCAAGGAATGGCCCCAGAAACTGGAGAATGTCCTTAAGCAGGTGGCACCCAAGGGTCTCGACAAAATGACCACCATGATGTGCGGCTCATGTTCCAATGAGAATGCCTACAAGAATATCTTCATGTGGTACAGACAGACACAGCGCGGTGAAAATGTCACCTTCAGTGAGGAGGAGAAAAAAAGGATTCATAAAATTTACATAATTTCCGCTAATTACCGGAACTAGACACGTTTGTGTGACCGGAAACGAGCCTGCGACTTCCGCCATCACACTTCTCCCTCTCCTCGGGTTCATCGAAATCAACGGCTTTTGACGAAAACCTTCCCTTGTCTGTTAATCAGCAGTCTATAGGAGCGTCCACAGACTTCCACGATACGTTTGTACTGTTTACGAGGTACCCGTAACGCCATGCCCATCCGAATGTGTCTCTGCAGTCCCACCTGAACCTCACTGGAAAATTCCTCTCGGCATGAAAACCGGCACCATGAGTTTCTGCCGTCGGGAACCACTACCACGCTACGCATTCTTCTCGGGTCCCCATCGCTACTAGAACCGCTTTCTTCCGCTTCAGACTCTGTCCAATCAGCATACCTTGGTGACGTGCTAAGCTCGGCCTGGTACCCATTGTCCGTACCTTCCCTGACCACGAGGTCGGAAACTATTTCGTTTCCCTGGGAATTATCCTCTGCGGACGAAGCTTCAGATTGTGAAACGATGCTGGTCGGTATCATTTCTGGGAGGGATTCTTCCTCAAGGGTGATTATTGAAGATCCCGGGGACATTATAGGTGCTGGCAAGGATTCATGCGACGTTACACTAGACAGGGAGTCCTCGTCGAGGATGATAATCGACGATCCCGGCGACATAATCTGCGGTGGCGTAGGGGAATTTGCGGACCCATGTCTCGGCCTGGGGGGTGTGGGCTGGTCATCGGTATTTAGGGCGAATGACCCGTTGACTGGAGGCCACATAAAACCTGGGTTTGCCGCGTTCTCTTCATCCGAAATCTCGATTATATCGAGCGAGCTTGGCCGCTGCTGCACTCTAAAGGGACGAACAATAGCCACTGGTCGTGGTACGTCCCCTATGGTCGTTCTTCCCAGCCGGACTGGGTTGGGCTGCGTAACTCCTGGTACGCCCTGGCAAATACGTTTGCTGGACGTTGGTGTAACCTCATCTTCCTGGTTCTGCCACTGTTGTTTGTAATAGGCTTTGGTCTTTAGTACAGGTGATCGTTTTTCCATGTTGCCGTCGAGACTCTTTTTTACACCTGAAGAAGAAACAACAGAAAATTTATTAGTGGCCGCCTCCAATACTGGTGCGTTAACGCGTCCAGAAGAGGAAGTCTCTGCCGAAGCGAAAGGTTTCAGTTCACTTAGGTGTGCCCTGCGCACATCGTTTCGTTGTTGACCGCGAACGTTTACAATCACGGGGGAAGTGTAGCCCATCACTTCATAGGGTCCATCATATTTTGGGGCCAACTTTGCTGCAAAGCTTTCAATAGCCTTTGACAAGGGGTGTTGTCGTACCCATACCCAGTCGCCCACAGCGGGTTTCCATTGCCGCCGTCTCAGATTGTAATATCTCCTCTGCTGTTCTCCGGCTTGACCTATTCGTTGACGAACCATTTTAATAACGTCGCGGAGTTCTTCCGCTCTTTCCTCAGAGCTTTTCCCAGTTGTACCCGTCCCATTCGTTACTTCATCGTAGAGAGTGTTTGGCAACCGCGGTTCCCGACATTGTATTATATAGGCAGGACTATGCCCCGTGGTTTCGGATATACACGAATTCATGGCCAAGTTTATCTCTGGAAGAAATTCATCCCATTTATTATGCTGATTCTGACAGACCTGTGCCAGCATCGTCTTAAGAGTCCGGTTCGCCCTCTCCGTTGGGTTCTCCTGTGGACAGTAAGGTGCGGTGAACTGCTGTCGAACTCCAATTTCTCTAAGGTATCTTCCTAATTCGCGACCCGTAAATTGACTACCATTATCCGAGAGAAACACTTTGGGAGTACCGAACCTAGACAAAATCCGCTCTCTAAATGCCTTGATCACGGCACCCGTGGTGGCTTTACGCAACGCCACCAGTTCCACCCATTTTGAAAAACGATCAATAAATACGAGAAGCATCGTGTTGCCATGTTTTGTCCTGGGTAGAGGTCCGACGAAGTCTGCACAAACCATGGACCACGGTTCCTCGGGGATTGTTAGTAACATCTCTCCAGCTGGTGCCAACTGACTAGGCTTGTACTGTTGACAAGAAATGCAACTTCTCACATACCTTGCAACATCCCTCATCATTCCGGGCCAATAGTATCGCTCAGAAACTCGTCTCGCCGTCTTTCTTATCCCAAGATGGCCTGCGGCTGGCTGGTCATGGTTTTCGCTAAGTACGCGGTTCCGAAGATTGGTGGGTACACACAGCTTCCAAGTATAATTTTCTCCATCACTCGAGTGTCTTGGTATATGGCGGTAGAGCTGGTCCCCAACGACAGCATAATCGGGGAATTTCTTGGGATCCTTGTTGATCTCCTCCAGTTTTAAGCGAATCCAGGGACACACATCCCATGTTTCAGCAACCGCCCTTTGCAACGATTCTACTGGCTGCCTAGACAGAGCGTCGGCGACTACATTTAGACCTCCTTTCCTGTATCGTATAGTGTAGCGATACTGCTGGAGCTCTAGTGCCCATCTCGCCAATCGGCCGGTGGGGTTTTCGATCGAATTCAGCCACTTCAGCGCCAAGTGGTCCGTTAAAACTTGGAACTCGTATCCTTCCAAGTATGGCCGCATCTTTCTGATGCCCCACACAATTGCCAGACACTCCTTTTCAGTTGCGGAATAATTCCTCTCCGCTCCATTCAGAGATCGGCTCGCGTATGCAATGACCCGTTCACCGTCAACAAATTCTTGGGTCAGCACTGCCCCAAGACCAACATCACTGGCGTCGGTCTGCAACAGGAACGTTCGACCGAAATCTGGGCATGCCAATACTGGAGCTTGAGTCAACCTAGCTTTGAGTAGTTCGAACACAGTATGCTGTTCTTCCGTCCATCGCCAGTGTTTACCCTTTTTTAAGAGGGATGTCAATGGTTGAGTAAGTGTCGCGAACTCGGGCACAAATCGGCGGTACCAGGACGCCACGCCTATAAATCGTCTCAGCTCTTTGGGGTTCTGCGGCTGTTTCATTTCCATGATCGCGGCAACCTTGTCTGGATCAGTTCGGATGCCGTGCTCGGAGACAATGTGACCCAAGTATCTCGTCTCTTTCTGGAAAAACTGGCACTTGTCAGGGTTAATGCGAAGGTTGGCGGCTCGTAGTCTTCGGAACACCTCCAACAGATTGGCCAAGTGCTCGTCTAGATTTCTTCCGATCACAATTATGTCATCCAGGTATGCAAACGCAAAAGGCTCCAAGTCTGGTCCTATTACGCGATCTAAAGCCCGCTGGAAGGTCGCAGGAGCTGAATGCAGACCAAACGGCATTACCCGCCATTGAAATAATCCTCTTCCTGCAACCGTAAATGCAGTGTACTTCTTGCTGTCCTCCTCCAAAGGAATCTGCCATGAATCCTTTTTTTAGTAAATATATGGCAATTCTGGATTAATTGGAAGAAAACTTATATCTCCCTTTATTTTCGATTGTTGCCACTGACCGCTTATCGGGGGAAAAACAAGTAGCAACAAAACGCACGTCGATCCTAACTTAAGAAAAACAAGTAGCAACAAAACGCACGTCGATCCTAACTTAAGAAAACAAGTAGCAACAAAACGTACGTCGTGGCTAAATCGTAAACAAGTAGCAACAAAACGCAAGTTACAGGGACTGCAATGCGCTGCTTGTTTGTAACAACTACCAACAAAACGCACGTCTTTGGATCGGTAATGCGTTACTGGCTCGAAAACAACCAGCAACAATACGCAAGTCTCTGGAACTGTGATGCGTAAACATCTAGCAACAAAACGCACGTTGCAGGGACTGCAATGCGTTGCTAACATGTAAACAACTAGCAACAAAATGCACGTCGTAGGGACTGCATTGCGCGGCTAACTTGTAAACAACTAGCAACAATGCGCCTGCGTATGCAGTTAAAGGACTTCGGTAAGTTGTTGACACGGGATTATAAAAGGAAAGTAGAAAGTTGCAGGGGGGACAGTCGATTGAGAGTCACTAGGCCAACAGGAGTCTAGATCAACGAAGCAGCCTATTTTTGCAACTTCAGGTGAGTAAAGTGAAACCAAAGATCTTGGAAACGCGACCGCCGAAGCGAAAGAAGCCCAGGACAAAGATATACCTGAGTGAGTTATTAAAGCCACCAGGAAAAGGGAAGAGCGAGTTGTCAAAGCCGCTCAAGAACACCTGGGTCAAGTCCAGTGAGTTGCCGAAGCCACTGGGATAAGAAACCGGGGAAGCTGCTAGGAGTCCTCTTATCTCGGAGCCGGACGAATATTCGAGATCACTCCAAGGACTCTGTGTAATATCCCGGTTGTAAATACATTGAACTGAAGAACAATAAACCGGGGTGATCCCATATTAATAAAGAGTCGTATTTTCCTTACTCCCGTCGCTGACAGAAATAAATTTCTGTGACGAACTCTGGCCACCGTGAGCTAACCTCAGCAAACGGAGGAATCTGAGTCGTTACAACTTTGAAAAAATAGTGTTATATGGGGTCTACGCAAGTGGTTTATCGATTATTTTACATGGAAGTGATTTTTTCTGATATCATAATCCAACATTCCGCCAGTTACGTTAATTTCAAAATTCAGGATTCCAGCTCGCCCGTTCCTCCAAATTCTAATTGTACCAAATTTAGTACAGTTTAGTACTTTCGTATACATATACCCCCTGATAAATATCAGTACATATCAGTAAAGGGCTTTAGGGTCAATGTAGGGGAAGCCTATCAAATAAAGGAGCAGTGTTGGCAAATGTCTACCAGGGCTGCCTTCTGGTAACCAGAATCTCCGACGTCTGTTGTAATTACGCCAGAGTCAAAACGAATAACGATAGGAATCTAAAATTCTGCACAGATCAGTCTTTTGGCTGCAAGCAGGTCAAGTTCGAAGATATGCTATAACGGTCCACGTTATCGCTCCATATAAAGGTACCCTTCGATATCCGGTATATTTTTCGATGGAATTGTCTGAAATTATACGCAAGGAGTTATTTGTGAGTACTTTACCCCGAAAAAGAATGGTCTATAAAGGTCTACTAAATCG